ACGGGGGAGAAGGGAGGGAGGATGGACTCGCCCAGATCCTAAAGAGACCAGGCAGGGTCTGGTTTCTCAGGTTCAGCCTGGATGGGGATCGGCAGACCCTTCTCCTCAGAGTGATGGAACTGAGTTCATCCTGACAATCTCTGTCTGAGGTGGTGTGACGGATATGACCTCACGGGCACTGCCTTCCAGGGAAGAAAAAGGTGAGGCCTGGGGAAAGCTTTCAGACAACCCAGCTCTCTGCCTCTCCCCCCTCCCTCACCCCTTCCCTGCAGAGCCCCAAAGAGCTAGCAGAGTCATGTGCCCGGAGAAGTGGGTTTCTGAGTGGGTGCACCTTAGCAGCAGCAGCACAGGCTGGAAGTGCACATCTGTTTTTCTGACAATTACAGATTGCCCACTTCTTTAAATTCAGATTTGTATCTTATCTTTTCAATTCCTTCAGAATTTCTTGTCTTCTTCCCAGCAAAAGCAAGGTCTGGATGACAAAAAAGAGTAAGCAAGAGGCAAGGACTGAGGGTGATTCTGCCCTGGCTGTGCTAGGTGACTCAGAGAACTTCCTTCAGGGCTCCTTCCTCAAAGAGCAAAGCGTATTCAGAGGAGGGGAGATGCACAGCCACAAATGTCACTAGCCCTATTGGGCACCACAGACCATAGGCTGAGGAGACCGAGGTCTCTAAAATGGGCAGGGAGAGGCAGGAATGCAGTCTTGACTCAAGAGATGTGAGACTCTATCCAGTGTGGTACTAAAAATATTAGAACTCCCAAAGTTATCAAACATAACTTTATAGTTATTGTATCTCTTTTTTATATCAATTTTAGTATGTGCATTGTAATCATATCAAATAAGATTAGACTTGGCTGTGATTAAAAGAAAGGAATGTTCAAAACAACAACATTTTAAACAAGAGAGAAGTTCCTTTCTCTCGAATACAAATGGAGTCTGGCCAAGTGTGGTGGTTCACACCTATAATCCCAGCACTTTGGGAGGCCAGGTGGGTGGATCACCTGAAGTTGGGAGTTCGAGACCAGTCTGACCAACATGGAGGAACCCTATCTCTACTAAAAATACCTAACTAGCCAGGTTTGATGGTGTACGCCTATAATTCCAGCTAGTCGGGAGGCTAAGGCAGGAGAATTGCTTGAACCCAGGAGGCAGAGACTACAGTGAGCTGAGATTGTGCCATTGCACTCCAGCCTGGGCAACAAGAGCGAAACTCTGTCTCAAAAATAATAATAATAAAATAAAATAAATGGAGTCTGGTGGTATGCTGCCCAGAGCTAGCAAAGTGTCTTCTCTGGTTGCATTGAGATGTTCAACATGTGGCTTCCACTTCATTATCGAAGGTTGTTGTTCACGGTCCAGCCATCACATCCACATTCTAGGCAGCAGGAAGGAAAAAAGGAGGGAAGAACTGCATGCTCTCCCATTAAGCACACTTCCTGGAAATGCACCCCCCCTTCTGAATTTCATTGGATAAAACTGAGTCACATGACCACACCTAGCTGCAAGGGGTCCTGGGAAATGTAGTCTATTCTAGGATACCATGTGCCCATTAGGGAATGCTATACTAAGGGAGTAGGAAAGGATGGACCTCTGGGCACAACTGGTAGTCTGTAGCACACAGATATATTAGTAGAATAGCACATGTGCATACTTACAAAGAAATAATGTGCTTATTGGAGGCATAGTCAAAACTGGGGAGTTTGAAGACAGCTGCTATGGATCGTATGCTCTGGAAGTACATATAATTGATTGAGAGAAGAAATATGAGTTGTGTTTTGTTTTTTTGTTTTTGATTTTGATTTTTAAGGTGGAATTTTGCCCTTGTCGCCCAGGCTGTAGTGCAATGGCATGATTTCGGCTCACTGTATCCTCTGCCTCATGGGTTCAAGCGATTCTTCTGCCTCAGCCTCCCAAGTAGCTGGGATTACAGGCACCTGCCACCATGCCCAGCTACTTTTTGTGTTATTAGTAGAGACAGGGTTTCACCATGTTGGCCAGACTGGTCTCAAGCTCCTGACCACAGATGATCCACCTGCCTTGGCCTCCCAAGTGCTAAGATCACAGGTGTGAGCCACCACGCCTGGCCTTATTGATTTTTTTTTTAAACTACTTTACAGTCATTCATCCTTCTCCTGGTCAAACAGTATAGAGAATTTTCTGTAGGGACTCATCCCTCCCTCACTCTCAGCTACACAGTTGTGGGGGGGCAGGCTGCAGGGGAGCTTCTAGTAGTCTTAGCGAACAACTTCTCCTGTCCCACCACTGGGATTGGTGCAGGTCACTGAGAGACAGCACGGGACTTTCATTTGACTCTTAGAGGGGAGATGCTGGACATAAAGCTGAGAGCACATCAAAGAGGAAGCTGCCCAAACCCTCTTACAACCACGGTGGAAGAGCCTGTCTGAGGGTGCAGAGGAGATTCTCATTCAGCTGATGAGGAGCCACACTGAGAGAGGCCCAGGTCCTGGAGATGTCATTTAAGCATCTGTGTCAAGCTGCATCTGAACACAGCATGAATCATAATGAGGAGTCATCTTGGACCATCAGATGGGTTCAGCTCCCTAGAACAGGCAGAGCAATGAAGTGGACAGAGCCTAGCATTGCATGACTTCCTGGAGCAGAGCCACAGTACCTAGCTGGAGGGCTGCATGAGAGAGAAATCAATTTTCATCATGGTGAAGTCCTACCTATTTAAGGGTCTTTGTCTTAGCAGCCAGCCTACAACCTAACCGGGACACAAGTAGTAATGACCTCATTAATTACCCAATGCCTGGAGAGTGAGCACAGGACAAGACTGACTCAGGATCCCAGGCTGCTGACCGCCATGTTCAGCACGACTCAGGGGTCCCTGGGTGGAGTTCCTTTCCCACATGCTGGATGGAGTCACAGCCCTTCATTTCGTCTTTGTACCTAAGCACTTTTGGAACTATACCCCTGTGCACTGCCCAGGTCTGGTCTGGGGCTTTGTTCTCGATACACATTAACTGAATAAATGAATAATAAATGGTCTTTCTGAGTTTCAGAATATCTAGCAGTCTAGTGGAGGATAAAATGAGATCATGTTTGAGAAGATGCTTTAGAAACTACAATATGTACATTTTGGTTGTAGTTATCCTTCTCATTAAGAAATTCTCTAAATTTAGGGCAAGAATATGAATATGGCTGTGCTATGAATATATCTATATATTCATATTCACACACACACACACACACACACACACACACACACACATGAATTCTGTCCTCGAGAGTATATCCCTATAGTCTGGTTCTGTGTTTTGGTGCCTTTTTCTATGAGACAGTCCTCCCAATCACACCACTCTTAGAGTTAAAGGACAGTTAGGGGCCATCCAGATACCACGCCCAGTGCCCCCTACCCGCACCCCAGACAGAATTCCCCTTCATGATATTCCCACTAAGTGGTCAGTTGGTCAGTGGCCCTCCTAACAACTAGGCACTGAGATCCAAATGTGACTCAACAGTGTAGGATGGTCAGAGTCCCATGCCGCTCATTAGATACACGTGTGTTCTCCTCCCTGTCTCTAAACACAGACTCCTTTCCCAACAGCCCAGAATTCTCCTTCAAGGTCAGGTTCAAAGTCACCAGCTCTGCAGAAGTCCTCCCAGTCTGGCAGGGGCAGCTAGGTGGTCCCTTCTTTTTGTTGCTATGTCACTTTGTATTTAACTCTATTATAAGGTGAGTCAATTTTCTACTTCCAACCACTACCTCGACCTTTCAGAAGTGAGAGTTTCAAGGGCAGAGACTGCATCTTACTTATTAAATTCTCCAGCACCTACTTCAGTGCCTGGCATTTGTTGATAATTTAATGAAGCTTGTTGAATGGATGAGTGAGTATAACACAGGAGCAGAACGGAGGGGTGTTGAGCCTTTGGTCTCTGGCATGAGACAAGCTTGGGCCCAAATCCCATTATTGAATTACATTCATTCATGCATGCACTCATTCATTCATTCAAATATTTTATTGAGTTCCTGTTATATTCCAGACACCCTGCTAGACACCAACATAGGACAAACAGGAGGGACAAGGTCCCTGTCCTCACCAAGCTTATGTCTGAATAGTAGAGACTGAAAATAAGCAAGTGAATAAGTAAATAAATACCTTGGCTCATGCCATAATCCCAACACCTTGGGAGGCCAAGGTGGGAAGATTGGAGCTCACGAGTTTGAGACCAGCCTGGGAAATACAGTAAAACTTTGTCTCTATAATTTTTTTCTTTTAAATTAGCAGGGCATGATGGCTTGTACCTGTGGTCCTAGCTACTCGGGATGCTGAGGTGGGAGAACTGCTTCAGCCCCAGAGTTCAAGGCTACAATGACCTGTGGTCGTGCCATTGCATTCCAGCCTGGGCAACAGAGCAAGACCCCATCTCTTTAAAAAAGTTAAAAAAAAAAAAAAGATATCTGCAAATTCTAATATGTCCTATGAAGGAAATGGACACGGGTGAGTGTTTTTACCAGGGCCCTGGGGTCAGTAGTGGGTGGCTAGATAGGTGGGCAGGGAAAGCCTCGCCGATGACCTTGAACTGAGTCCTGAAGAATGAGAATGAGCCAGGCTTTTAAGGAACAGAAGGAACAGGGACAAACAGAAATGCAGGTGCTTCTCTTTCCAAGGCTTAGTTTCTTCATCTATAAATAGAAATAATAACAGCACCCACCTCACAGTTTGTTGTGAAGTTTAAATGCTTTGAAACACTTAGCATAGCGCTGGCACATAGAAAGCGCTTCATATATATTAGATCTTATAATCAATGACAGGGTCATGCTGGAGAAAGGAAATGAGGGCGAAGCCACGGCAGCCCTCTGTAATGACCCCTTCCTTCTCCAAGCTGTCCCAAGCCATCTGTTAAATGATCCACTGGAGAAGGTTCCTAGGTACCAGCCTCAATCTCTCCCATCTAAGGTCTCTAGAATCTTTTCTGAATAAGTGTAAATACCTTGTAAGATTTAGCACATCAAGTCAGGCACGGTGGCACACACCTGTAGTTCCAGCTACTCGGCAGCTGAGGCAGGAGGATCGCTTGAGCCCAGGAGGTGAAGGCTGCAGTAAGGTATGATTGCACCACTGTACTCCAACCTGGGTGACAGTGAGACCCTGTTAAGTAAAGAAATATTGAGTAAATCCAATGGGATAATGCGATGGAAAGCCTTATACAACAATAATTACTACTCTTGTTGTTTCTTCATGGTCTCCGGACACCTCACATGCTGCCCGTTCTAGGCAGCATGCTGCCCAGTTTGCCAAAGACCTTCTTAAAACAAAGCCCCTAAAACTGAAAGTGGAATTTAAGTAGACTCTGGCAGAGCTGGGACTGTGCCTGAGGCCCACTGACCCAACACAGCCTAACAACTGGGTCATAAGTTAGCAACATAAGCAAGAGTAAAATCCAAGCCTGCTGCCTTCCCATCCTGGGCCATACTGGCCAACCAGGTGCATTGACAGCACCTAACGTCGGGCAGTGAGATGAGGTCTGCCTGGAACTCCTGAGCACAAGGCAGCCTTCAAGGAATTGCAAAGCACTCACAGTCGTGTTTTATCTACTGGGCAGATGGGAGGGTCTTGCATTTGTAACAGGAACAAACAAAAAGATTCTAACTATCTCAGAGGCAAAAGCTTTTCCACAGTTCAAAGTCCTCTGAACCGGTGGTTTCTCTGATAAGGGATATGTGTGTGTCTGTATATGCGCATGTACACATGCACACATGCGTGTACTCAAGACAGGAAAAACAGCACTGCCTTCATCCTCTCTGCCACTGACTCTTGCAGATATGATGATTTTATGCGTTCATGTTAAGTCTGGCCTTAAATGGCAACATAAGCAGAGAAATGCCAAGGGGAGTGGTGGAACACACAAGGGCATAATTACAGTGAGCCTTGTCCAGCTAACACACCAATAATTTGCCTCACAGAATGATTCAGCAATAACCCTGCCAGAGTTCCCAAAGAAACCCCGTATCTGGGATGACGTAATGTCTCTCCACCTCTGATACCGCCTCTCTCCACACCCACCGCCACACGCTCACCATCTCGTCTCGAGAGCCACAATTCCATCTGTGAACCTTCATTTGCCATCTGCATTGTGACAAATATGTATCTTATTATTCAAATTGTATTACAATGTACGATGTTGTTAATCTAGCCCTATACGCTTGATAATTCAATAGAAAAATTAAGACCTGGAAAAAATGTTAACCTCTGGTGGGTTATACAGGAACAAAAAGCATGAGCTATGTCTGCAGAAAGCCTTTAGTATCTCAAACTGGGTATTTGGTCCCTGCATCCCATGAATATTCATACTTTGAGGAAAGTGATTGATTTCATTTATCACTGGAAGTGGAGGTGACTGTCTAGACTTGCTACGTGAGAAGCATTGCAGAGAAAGGGACCCTGGCCCTCCTGAGATGCACCTTGTGCGTGGCTGGAAGACAATTTTGCTGGCCTATCCCAGATCCAGATCCATCAATTTGCCCTTCTCCCTGACCAGTGGAACCAGAGAGATGCTCATGGAAAATGGTTTTATCTTGATCGAAACTAATTTTGCTTTAGACTAATTGTGATTTGCCATTCCTGCTAGGTATGTAATTCATTTGATTTCACTTTGTTTCAAAGAGCAATATAGAAGATCTGGGGGTAGGGAGAGTTCTAGGAAAGATTTTATTTTGCTGATACATAGAGACCCAAAGAATATATAGCTTCCTTTTTCTATGGATGTTGTTATGATGCAAGAAAGTCCTACAGCCCATTTTGCAAACGAGGGGGGAGGTTGCTGGAAAGACGACAGAGATGGCAAAAATCTGGGTCCTTGAGGCTGTTGCTAAATCATTAATAGGACAAATGAGGTAGATCTAAGAAAAAAAATTGCTAATAAACCAAACATAGAGCTGCCTTATCTATCTCCAGACTTTGCATTATGTAAGATAATATATTCTTTGTTATTTAAGCTGGTTGGATCAAGGCTTTCTGTTATATAAAAGCTGAAAACATCACTACTACTTGAGGCAGTGACTTTCAAGCTTTTTGATCATAAACCAAAGAGGGAACTATGTTTATGTGTAATACATTCTAAAATGTTCTATTCTATTCTATTTCATTTTTTAAAATTCAGGTCACAGCCCACTAACGTGATTTCAAAGCTCACTAATGGGTCATGACCCACATTTCAGGGAACATTAAAGTCGTAAGGTATATAAGCTACCGTGATATAATAGAAAGCATAATGTGGCGTCATCAAAGACACATCAATGAAGTGCTGTCATAGGAAGGAATCATCGCTTTGAGTTGGGGGAAACAGGGAAGGTTTTAAGGAGGAGCTGGACCTTGAAGAGGAGTTCCATTTCCAGCAAGAGGAGTGGGTAGAGAATTGGGGAGTGGGGGGATTTGGTTAGGAAATGACAGGAGCAAAGACAAGGTGGTAAGAAATACAGATATGTTACCCACCAGGGGTGAACCTGGCCAAAGGCGGTATATGGTTTGGAGTGTAGTGAGAAGAAAGGCGTGATTTGGGTTAGGTAACGTGCAGCCTTGAATGCTAGGCAAATGGGAGGCCCTACGAAGGCTGTGCAAGGCTCTGTCTGAGAGAATCTAAAGTGGCAGCAGCTGCAAGCTGGGCTGAGCCCACGTCACATCAATAGCTGAAACTGGCAGAGCTTACTTAAGGCCAGAGGCAAATAAGAAAGGCCTGTGCTCTTGAAGGTCCACTTCTGCCATGTCACCTCCTTCTCCCTGCAATCCCTGCAAACCCATTCTCTGCAAGGGTGGGGCTCTTGATCAGTGAACTGCTCTCCTGTGATGAACAAAGAGTAAGCTGGCCTTTCTAAAAATCTTGCCTGGCAGCCCACAATGTAAACTAATGGTGCTGATGTGATTCTTCTAAATGACAGCATCAGAGAGTGGGCAAGATTGGGCGATTTTCCATCTCAGAAGGCCCACAACCCCCAGCTTCTTCTCATTGTTCATCTTCTTGCTCCCACCTGCCTGCCTGCCAATGTGTTCACATTTTGTTAGATACAGCCCCCAAAAGTGGGCTGAGCCTTGCTACTTGACACCTCTAATAAGAAAAATTTAGTGGAGGAGGATTTGAAATTGCTGGTTACATTGGGTGTTTGTGCTATCTGTGGATTTTAATTACCCATGTCATCCCTTCCCTAATCTCTCCCTGAAAAGCAAGAGTTGACTCTCATGATGGAAATTAATCGGAACTAATCTGCAGCTTCTCTTTTACTATAACCCACAGACCTAAGGGGTAGGAAAATCAGAGCAGAATTTTCCTGGGAATCCACATACTGAAGAATAGAACCAGATTTTAATAACTTTAAAATGGCGCCAAGCTTATGCTTGCCATCTCCCTTCAAATACGTGAGTTCGTGACTATTTAAGACTGAATAATCAGATCTCTGGAACACTGTTTCTATCCTGACAGTTGATACTCTTTGTGGTTTGGGCAGAGGCCCCTACATTTCTGGCCCACTGGCTCCATATGGAAAATTACAACTAAGACCTACCCCTTGGGAATGCAAAGTTGACTGCTTGGGGTGGGTGGGCATATCGATGATGAAAAGCACCAGCTAGCTACATGTGACCCCCAAGCATATGGAATCAAGTGATGAGTTAGGATAATTACTGTTGATTCTTCTTCAAGGGGCTTTACTTGGATTTTTATTTTAGAAACTTTCAGTGTCCCAATATTAGAACCTAAGATTGGAGTTAACAAGCTAAATAAAAATAAGTGAAGGAAGGAGCAGACAGGTAGGGGTTATCCTCTCAACACATCCAAAGACACCATCACCGTCTCTTGCCAGCACTGCTTCTGCTCTGACGCTTCCCTTCTGAGTGCATGGTGCCACATTTCCCCAGGCACCTGGAATCTTGGTACCATCTCCAGTGTTCCTGCTGCGTGTCACCCACATGAAGCCAACTGCCAGATCCTTTAAAATCCCTTGCTCTGTTTCTACTCTTTTTTGTTGTTGATTTTTTTAAAATTTATTATTCTACTTTAAGTTCTGGGGTACATGTGCCGAATGTGCAGATGTGTTACATAGATATACATGTGCCACGGAGGTTTGCTACATCCATCACCCCATCGTCTACATTAGGTATTTCTCCTAATGCTATCCCTTCCCTTATCCCCTCCCTCCTGCTAAACCTCCCCTGACCCCCAACCCCTGACAGGCCCCAGTGTGTGATGTTCCCCTCCCTGTGTCCATGTGTTCTCATTGGCACATGGACACCCAAGTGAATTCAACATCCACTTATGAGTGAGAACATGTGGTGTTTGGTTTTCTGTTCTTGTGTCAGTTTGCTGAGAATGCTGGTTTCCAGCTTTATCCATGTCCCTGCAAAGGACATGATCTTGTCCTTTTTTTTTTCTTTTTTTAAGACAGGCTTTCACCATGTTGGTCAGACTGGTCTTGAACTCCCAACCCCAGGTGATCAGCCAACCTTGGCCTCCAAAGTGCTTGGATTACAGGCATGAGCCACAACGCCTGGCCCATGAACTCATCTTTTTTATGGCTGCATACTATATGTGCCACATTTCTTTATCCAGTCTGTCATTGATGGGCATTTGGGTTGGTTCCAAGTCTTTGCTATTGTGAACAGTGCTGCAATAAACATACATGTGTCTTTATAACAGAATGATTTATAATTCTTTGGATATATACCCAGTAATGGGATTGCTGGGTCAAATGGTAACTCTATTTCTAGATCCTTGAGGAATTGCCACACTGTCTTCCACAATGGTTGAACTAATTTACACTCCCACCAACAGTGTAAAAGTGTTCCTATTTCTCTACATCCTCTCCAGCACCTGTTATCTCTTGATTTTAATGATCGCCATTTTAACTGGCGTGACATGGTATCTCAGTGTGGTTTCGATTTGCATTTCTCTAATGACCAGTAATGGTGAGCTGTTTTTCATATGTTTGTTGGCTGCATAAATGTCTTTTTTGAGAAATTTCTGTTCATATCCTTAGTTCTTAATTCAACTTCTCAGTGCATCTCTACTGGCCTCCTGGGATAGCTTCCTTGTTTGGCCCTACTGCTTCTCCCTGTCTTCCCATCTCAGTTCACCCCTTACTTGGCTACAGGAGTAATTT